TGGACGTTATTCAGGTTTGTGGGGGATGCCCCCAATGTCCATGATCTCCGCACTAGATGGAGGAATGCAGCCGTCCATGGCAGGATAGCTGCCAGCCTGGCCACCCAAGGCCACATGCGAACCCAGGAGCAGGTTTGCATGAAAATCAAGTTGGTCTGGTGAGACCCCCAACCCTGAGCTTCCCCTTCCCCTTCCCCTTGCTTCCCCCTTCCAGCTCCCTCCTCTCAGGTTTCCCTGTCCCCTTTCCCACCCTCTCTCTTCCCTTCTCTCACCTCCTTTCCCCAGTCTCACCAGAGTTTCATTTCCCGCCACCCCCCCCTTCCTGTTTTGTTATAAAGAGAGTTTGTGTTCATGAAAATACATGTTTCTTCTTCGAGTGGTTGCTCATGTCCATTCGAATAAGGTGTGCGTGCCGCTTGCACCGTCTCTTTGGAGTGTTTTCCCAAGCAGTACCCGTAGCGCTGGCAGGTCGCCCACTGGAGTGGCGCCGCTATAGCGGCCGTCCATGGCAGGATAGCTGCCAGCCTGGCCACCCAAGGCCACATGCGAACCCAGGAGCAGGTTTGCATGAAAATCAAGTTGGTCTGGTGAGACCCCCAACCCTGAGCTTCCCCTTCCCCTTCCCCTTGCTTCCCCCTTCCAGCTCCCTCCTCTCAGGTTTCCCTGTCCCCTTTCCCACCCTCTCTCTTCCCTTCTCTCACCTCCTTTCCCCAGTCTCACCAGAGTTTCATTTCCCGCCACCCCCCCCTTCCTGTTTTGTTATAAAGAGAGTTTGTGTTCATGAAAATACATGTTTCTTCTTCGAGTGGTTGCTCATGTCCATTCGAATAAGGTGTGCGTGCCGCTTGCACCGTCTCTTTGGAGTGTTTTCCCAAGCAGTACCCGTAGCGCTGGCAGGTCGCCCACTGGAGTGGCGCCGCTATAGCGGTGCATAAGTGCCCCTGCCGGCGCTGCCCCTCAGTTTCTTCTTACTGCCCATGACGGTCGTTGGAGCGTATCTATCTTGTTTAGTTAATGGTTCCCGTTTCTAGTTAGAGTAGTTGTTTGTAAATAGTTAAAGTAGTTAGATAGTTAGAAAGTTCTTTGTTCTCCTTATCCCCTTCGGGGGTAAGGAATGCCAGAGCCGCAGGGCTTTAAGGCTTGTGCGGTATGTGCTAAGTTCATGCCTAAAGGAGACTCTCATGATAGCTGTCTAAAGTTAGCAGTACCGACGGGCGAGGGCTGGACACAGCCCCCCACCACAGTTTCAGCGCTGGGTCCTCTGCCGGAGCCCATTTCAGCTACATCGTTGGGACTGTACTTGGCGTCGACGCAGCCAGCACCGATGAAGACTAGACATGTGGCACCACCAACGGTACCACCAGCTCTAGTACCGGTACCGCTGTTGGCACCGCCAGCACCACTAACTCCAGCACTGATACAAGGTATTCCAGTACCAACACCTGTTTCGCTACCGACACTGTCTCTGTGGACCACGCCGCCACCATCCCTGTTGACGACACTGACACCTTCTAGGGACACGTCGATGGCACCGGCATCATCTATGCTGTCTACAGTAGCGCCCACGGCAGCACCAGTAGGGGCACCATCAGTTGGGCGAATGGACACTGCAGGGCCTTCCTCCCACCCAGCACAGAGTTCGGCACTGCATAAGAAGTGCGGCGTGCCAACACCACAGCAGGGCACGGATACCGTTTTTCCTGTGCTGGCATCGGTACAACCTCCTCGCTATGCGCATGCAGGCAAGCCGGAGTCAATGGCCAGGTTCGCGCCTCCAGTGGTATCGGTGTACTTGTCATCAGCCCCACCATGGCCTGCATCCGATTACTCCTCAGATTCCGATGCGGACTCAATAAGATTGGGATCCTCGAGGGCGTCATCGGAGCACAGATCCCGCTCTCGGCACCGACGGGATTGGCCTCACATACAACAAACCTGGCCTCCTCAACCTCAGTGGCAGTTCTGGATGCCGTGGGCATATCATCAAGGGCAGGGGCCTGTGCCTCCCTCCACGGCATCCTCCGTCAGCATCTCTGTCGCGACCCCCTCCCTCGTCTCAGGGGAGTAGTGCTGTGGATGCCTTACAGCCTCAGTACCGGAGCCACCCCTGGCACCTGTGATAGTTGCCGAGTCAGTCCCCCACCCAAGCCTGACGCTGGACCCGGTGCTGCTGCAGGAGTCTTCCTCGTTGTCTTCTCCTGACGAGGTTTTAGCAGATCCGGCTCCAGCTATGCCAACGATGGATGCCAGGTCGCATCAAGAGTTGCTTTGCCGCCTAGCTTACAACCTTGGGGTCCCTGTGGAACTTGTGGTAGAAGAGATGGACCCCATGGTAGACATCCTGTCGGACAATGCTCCTGCCGCCTGGCTTTGCCTCTTAATAAGACGGTGGCTAAGATAATGAACGTCCTGTGGCAGACTCCGGCTTCCTTAGCTCGTACCTTAAAGGGGATCGAGAGGCGCTATTATGTCCCGCAGTCAGGACGCAAGCACTTGTATTCTCAGCCTGTCCCGGGGTCTTTGGTTGTCCAAGCTGCGGCACAAAAGGAAAGATTCCCACAGCCGGAGCAGTCCCCGAAGGCTAGGGAGCCCAAGTGCCTCAACCTCATGGGGCGTAAGGTATATGCCACCAGTGGTGTGCAACTCCGCATCGCGAATCAACAGGCTATGCTTAGCCGCTACGCCTACAATACGTGGTAAGGAATGGATAAGTTTAAGGACAAACTTCCCCCCGAGGCGCGTCAGGAATTTGCGGCTATGACCACTGAGGGCAGAACCATCGCCCACACAGCACTGCAGGCCTCCCTGGACGCGGTCGACTCTGTAGCCCGCACCATGGTGTCAGGGGTAGTTATGCGCTGTGGCGCCTGGCTCCAGATTTCTGGAATACCGACCGACATCCAGAATACCATACAGGACCTACCCTTCGAAGGGAAATCCTTGTTCTCGGAGCACACTGACTCTAGGCTCCATAGGCTCAATTTTCCTCCCATCGTTAAATATGGTCTCCAGATTGCAGATCAGGGACTTTGGTAGGTTGGTGTGGAGGAACCATGCAGCTCTCTCTGCTGTACATTTCCCATGAACAAATGGAGAACTTTCAGTTTCCTATCAGTCCAACACTCATCATCGCTGAATGATTCTCACACACGAGTTTATTTAAAAATAAAACTGTAGCCATTGCCATTGCCAAATCTCTCCAGATTTCTTCAATCTGTTTCCAAATATGTGACGCACACCGGAAAGGTACAGTACAAAGGATACTATATCCACATGTTCATTTATAAATATCTCTTACATCTAGTCACTGAAAACTACTTCTCAGATAGTCAGTAAATATTGTTATAGAAAAATTTTATTCGTTTTTGTGTGCTTTAATGTTAAGAGCTAAAGGAACTTTGTTCATTTCCTGCCCTAAATAATCACAAAAGGTTGCTCTCCTGTTTTACCCGAAGGGTGGGTATATTTCAGTGGTGGGTAAAATTTATGTTTTTAAAACATGGATGAGAAATATCTTGCTAATTCTATATGAACTGTCCACAGTAGTAAGTACTAAGGAATGGACAGTAAAAGTGAGATCCCTGCTGCAGCCCTTTACATTGGAGTAGTGTGTTAGGAGTCCCTTAGTGCAGGCATTGTGGAAGACAGCCTCACACTGAACCCTTCACAAACTCCAGCATGGAGGGTTGGGAGTAACCGGGCACATTGGGGGTGAGACACAACATTCCCTATAGCACTAGGGAGGTAGGGTCATCCCCCAAGTATGTCATCCAACTCTCTGTAGAATTGGCAAGTCTAGGGCGCAGCACTGGTTTGCATCCCACACCATGTGGAAGGCGTTTCTTTAGCTCCTTCACTTTGCACTGCAGCACATCCTGGTCATGACCTGCATTGGTCATGTATCTTGACATGTGCTTGTATGTATCATAATTCCTATGTCTGGAGCGCACCTGGGAATGGATTGCCTCCTCTCCCCAAACACTGATGAGGTCCAGCACCTCAGCATGACTCCAAATAAGGGATCTCCTGGTGCATGGAGCAGGTATGGCCAGCTAGAAAGATGCACTGAGGACACACCACACATCACTGAGCAAACAGGAAGAAGGGAAAGGACAGGTCTGAGAGTTGGTCACCGAAGAGCAAGACAGTAGAGTTCAAACAGATGACCAGAGAGGCAAGAGCCCTTCACAAACATTGTGGGAAGGGTGCTGGAGGAGAGTCACGATGCAGTACTACAGTGATCCAGTGTCCATGCTAGCACCCCATCACTGTATCCAGAATGCAGCAAGCTCTATGCTTCTCATCCAGGTGGCTTACCTAGAGTGCAGCAACTGTGGGGCTTGTGTGCACTAAGTGCCTTACCAACGTTGACACCTTAAAAGCTACAGCGTGCAGTTTGTCAGTGTAGACTTGGCCTTAGTTTCTTTTGGAGATAGGGAGGGCATGTTTATGGAGCAATGCAGACTGTTCAGACACCCCAGCTGGATAGGCACATTGCTTTTTCTGCTTTTCAATTTTGACATGAAAAACCAATGTGGTAGAAGATGGAAACATTTAATTTGGTGACAGACGCCAAAGGAGGTGTATGTTTAAGCAGTTTTGAGTAAATAAAAACTGTTCGTTTTGTTGTCACTTCCCAAGCAGTTATATGTAATTGGTATATTCTCCTAAGCCTGCATTTACAAGACAACGTGGGAATATTACATGCAAAATCAAGGCTGTGTGCCGTGAATAACTTAATCTAGCTCTCCAAATGCCTATTTTGCTAAGTGACCAAAATTTTAAAAGAATAAAGTTCTTTTAAATAGCAGGGAATTTTACTAATTCACATGGGGAAAATAAAAGGAACTGACAGAAGCCTTGTAATTTGAACACTGACGGCATATTTTAATTATTAAACACTGTAGTGTGGTGATGTATCTTATTTGTGGCTATTTTTCATTGTTGAAATGAACTGCCTGATGGGATTTCTTGCTTTCTTGGAAAGTTAGGATAATTTTTAAGCTTTTAAGAATACTGTCTTTTTTAAGTTGGTAAAGCACTTCACTGCTGTTTTATAATAAAAAAAATCTAGACACTGTTTGAACCAGTTTATTTCTGTTGTAGGGGCAATCCTGGGCGCACATGTGAAACTTAAGGGTTAAATTCCCAACACTGTCGCATATGGCAGTGAGCAGAATTGCAGATGTTTGATGATGCAACATAATTAGTATTCTTTTATGTAAATGAAGGTTGTCAATGTTACCATAGTATCTACTTTCTTTCAAGCTGGAATCAATGCCACTTAGTCTCACCAAGACTAGACAGGATTATTCCACATTTTTCAGACAAGATTTGGGAGGGAACAGAAGAAAGGAAAGAAAGACAGAGAAATAAATGGTGGTGGTGGGGAATCATTTGAACTGGCTATAAGTAGACCATATCCATCCATTCTTTGTTTTTCATTTTATTTCTGAAAGTGCCTTACCAGTTCTTTCTCATGTGTGAATGAAACAGTAAAAGGCACAGTGAAATCAGAACTGTTTTAAATAGCCAGGAAAAAAATTTTTGTTTAAGTATCTCCATTTTAGAGAGACAAACATTCAAAAGATTCCACTTCTATTGCTATTTTCACATGGAGGAGAACAAAAGACTGAGAGGCTTAACTTCTTCTAAAATATTCCATCTTTAATATGGTGATACTAATTAGAAGCTGGTAGTAAAGTTTAATTTAAACTTGCATAATACATGTAAGAGAACATAAAGTATATTTTTTTCATAGTCTTGTCAAATGTTCAATCTGCATACCATTTGTAGTTGGCTATTCTAGTGCTCATCATAAAACTCCTGGAAAGTATCATATTTCCTTCATTGCATTTCAGCTGTATTCCCCATAAAATGGCATTCTGAGTTTTGAAATAAGGCTTTCTATATGCCACTTCTATAACTGTGTTTGAAATGTGTAATCACTGTCCGTAACCATGTTGCTAGTCTGGCTGGGTATTATTACTACTTGGTGTATTGAGGTACTGTGATCACACGATATGTATATGAGGTGAGATACTTTTCTTAATTATTGCAATAAATAACAATACCCTCTTTCTATCTTTACCTTTCTTCTTCCATCATGGACAGCATGCAGTTCACAATCTCCCGCTTCCTGTCTTCTTCCCATAATGCTTGTTTTATTTTAAAATCATCTACATTTGACTGTTCTCTGCTTATACATTTTTTTTTATGGAAAAGCTATAGGAAATGGAGTTTTTTCCTCCCAAAAATGGATAACTGCTCCATAGCCAAAATTAAAGTGGTCACAAGAGGTATATAATTTTGCTTAGTTTTCCTGTTGCGATTTTATTATGCCATATGGTAGATCATCCACTATGGAAAAACTTCTGAAGAGGAGGCTATGTGTGATCACTAGACTTACAGATAATCAGAAAAATGAAATTCTGAAGCACCATGACATTTCTTCACAGCCAAGTATTTGGGTTGTTAGGTGCATTAATGTTGTGGCTTCGAGCTAATTCTGTTCCTTGTTATGAAAGCATTCTCTGCCGTAGCTCTTACATTGAGGGGAATAATCATGTTCTAAAGCAGTTCTACTATTTATTTTTTTTTAGTTTGTTTACATGTATCACAGGAATATTCTCTTTCTAGGGCTTTGAAGCTGTGCCGCTTTATGTGATGAAGACCTGAGTAGTAATTAAATTCCTGAAGAACTGCCAAGTCTGCTGTTGGCTGAAATGGGGATGTTCCAGGCTCTGGTCATTGAGTTGCGGAAAAAAGAATGTTTAAACATGACACAGTGAGTAGTGAATTGTATGTGTGTGCAATTGTATGTGTGTGCATGTATCCGGCTGACAAGTCTTCATCCCAATTTTTTTTCCCGTTTGTGTCAGATAACTGACTAGATTATACAAAAGAAACCATTTTCCTAGCATGAAGAACTCTCTGTGGTTGTGTTCTTTGTAAAAAAATAATTGAATCATTTATAAAACATATGAATATAGAAGACACAAGTAGAAGCATGTGGTTCTTTAGAATTCCAGTATCTCTCCTTTCCACTTTCTTCAACCAGGATATAAAAATGTGAGTAAATTGGTTGTCTTTTCTTTTATGTGCAGACACATTCAATTTTGCATTGTCAGAATGCACAAGTGGAAAATCCTGGCATTTATTTTCTACCTGCAATTTCTGTGTAAGGATGTAATATGCAAACAATTTTAAAAAATGCATTGACCTAAGTGTAGAAGTACAGAGGCAAATCTTTAACTGATGTAAATTCTTGTCGCCACATAGAAGTCAATACTGTTTATATCAGTTGAGCATTTATCCCACTTATATTGGTAGAGTAAGTCTGTGACCCATCGTGCTATAAGTTTTCCTTTAAATTAAAAGTTTGCTGAAGTGAAAGAAAAACAAAACAAATAAACCTGGTTCAAATACAGTTATACACAGGTTGCCATAATATGATTGCATAACCTACATAAGACCTATAAATGTGGTGATTGCATTCCATTTTTTATCATTGCTGAATTTTTATATTCAACTTCTGTGAAATATTTGAAACTCTTGCTTCTGCATCCTGCCTAACTCAGATAAAAAATATTATATGGTGGGAAATGGAAAACTTCAAGAGACAAGTAATGTGATATAGAGCCTTTACTTTCAGGTTTTCATTTCAAATCTAGCCCAGTTTGGTCATGACAGTTATTTGGCATCTGTGTAGCTTTTATGAAAAAAGTGGGTAATCTTAACGCAGTTCCTAGTGGATAGGCATATCACTAAAACATCTTCAAAATTTACCTCAAATTTGTCCGTTTAAGAGTTCAAGCATGTTGTCAGTTTGCACTGCCACTACCTGGGCTGTCGGCAGAAGCTGGATAGACAGTTTCACTCTTTGGAGTCTGTCAATTCAGTATCTTTCAGTGGTACTAAACATAGATTTTAAAAACTGCTGCCAGAGAGATTTGTCTGTGAAAGGAAATGCTGTCTTTGGATTTAGCAAGACATGACTTGTCAGTATCTTTTTAGGTCTTTATCTCATTACAAAAGGCAAATGACTTTAAATTTGTCCTGTGGCTCTAAAGTCCTTTTTTCCTTTTTCTTGTAAGGTTAAAGCAGTGGAGACTTCTGTAAGACATGGATAGATGCAAACATGTTGGGCGGCTACGACTCGCCCAGGACCATTCTATCCTGAATCCCCAGAAGTGGCACTGCAAGGACTGCAACACCACGGAATCTATATGGGCTTGTCTGAAATGCTCCCACGTGGCCTGTGGAAGGTACATTGAGGAACATGCACTTAAACACTTTGAAGAGACCAAGCATCCCTTGGCTATGGAAGTTCATGATCTCTATGTGTTTTGTTACCTTTGTGAAGACTATGTCTTGAATGATAACCCTGAGGGAGATTTGAAATTGTTAAGAAGCTCTCTGTCTGCTATTAGAATTCAAAAGCATGATCCATCATCAGCAAGAAGTGGTAGGACATTGCGATCAATGGCTTTAGGGGAGGATGTGTATAGCCATCAGAGGACCCCTCCGGGACAGCCTCAGATGCTCACTGCTCTCTGGCATAGGCGCCAGTCTTTGCTAGCAAAAGCACTGCGGACCTGGTTTGATAAGAGTTCTAGAGGCCGGCTAAAACTAGAACAAAAGAAACAAATGGAGGAACTGGAGAGAAAGAAGGAAGCAGCCAGGCAGAGGCGGCAAGAGATGAAACGGCGACTTTTGGAGGAACTGGCGAACACTCCTCCTAGAAAGAGTGCAAGACTTCTGTCTCATGTTCACAGAGAGAACTTGATTCCAAGGAAGTTTAGAGAAATAGCAGTAAGTTCCCCTACCTCAAGGCGAGTGCAAAGCAGCAAATTCAAACAGTTTTATTCCATCCGGCGTAAGCCCTTAATGACTCCTGGTGTGACTGGCTTAAGGAATCTGGGAAACACATGCTACATGAACTCAATCCTTCAAGTGCTAAGTCACCTCCAGAAGTTCAGAGAATGTTTTTTGACACTTGACCTCTGTGAAACTGAAGAACTCTTAGCCAAAACGGTAAATGGAAAGTCTAGAATGTCTGGCAAGTTGGCAAATGGATCTGCTGCTAATGAATCGGGGAAGAATGATAAAATGGGGTCATATGGCAGGCAAAGCTTGCCAATTGGCTTAAACGGTGGCTCCTCAATAAGCAGGAGTTTGGAACTAATACAGCCCAAGGAACCAAGTTCAAAGCACATTTCTCTCTGTCATGAGCTGCACACTCTCTTCAGAGTCATGTGGTCTGGGAAGTGGGCATTAGTGTCTCCATTTGCCATGCTGCACTCCGTGTGGAGTTTGATTCCAGCATTTCGTGGCTATGATCAGCAGGATGCTCAGGAATTTCTCTGTGAGCTGTTAGACAAAGTGCAGCAGGAGTTGGAGTCAGAAGGAACAAAGCGCAGGATCCTCATCCCTTTCTCACAGAGGAAGCTCACCAAGCAGGTCCTGAAGGTGGTGAACACCATTTTTCACGGGCAGCTGCTCAGTCAGGTATGCACATAGCTCATCACTGAAACCAGCTGCAGCTTTCAGTGCCAGTGAGCAGAGGGTCTGTTTTTTGTGGAACCACCGGATGTTCAACAGCACTTAGGTGACTCTCTAAGGAAGATTGAATTACAGCACTGTAGTAGAGCTGTTAGGGGTCTATTGGCCTTTTCAACATAAACCCCACATTTCAAGGTATCAGAACGTAGCTGTGTTTTATAACTTTAAGATGATAGTTGCATATCAGATAGACGAGTCCTCGGCCCTAGTGCAAGTTGGTTTTTGTTTTACAAAATGTGTATACTTAATTTGGCTTTTTGTTTCTTTCTGTGTTTTAAAAGGGAAGGGTGTCATGGGGAAAGGGACAGAGACTCTAGTCTTAGCATGCCATTAAAAAAGAGCTTTTCTAAAAATGCATATTTGCAGGCATTTAGAAACTAATCCTGAGAGGTGCTGATCACTCATCTCTCTACTGATTTCTGTGAGTTGCAAATGCGCCACATCTCTCAATAATTGGTCCTTTGGGTATGTGTTTTCCCTTGAGTCTTTCACATTACTGCCCAAGGGTCTGATAATAAAAGGTGTACTGAGTGTCTATGCAACCCTTCAACTACCATTGACTTTAAAGTACCATGAAAGTATTCAGCACTTTGCAAAGGATACTTTGCAGGATTGGGCCATAAAAATGAATATATGAAACTATTATTATTACTGCCATTTTTCAGTGCTGCTTATCTTGAATTAGCATTAACAAGAAATGATGCGCATATTAATGGAGAGTATATCCTTTAGTCCTCTATTTAGAGGCGGGCTTTGGGTTTTCTGGAAAACAAGTGTTAATTTAAAACCATTGATTTTTGAAAGTTGTCTACTGTGCACATTCTCTTCATACCCTTTTCTGAATGCAGGACATTTAGTAAAAAAAATTTCATCCTAGTTGTTTAATAAGAGTTCAATACAGGTCTAGAGTCCTAGATGTAGCTACAGTGTTAGACTTCTCTATTAACAACTCTTTATGGTAGGGGTGGGGAACCTCTGGCCCCTGGCTTGCCTGGATCTGGCCTCTGAGGCTTGGAGCTCTCCTCCCCCCAGCATTGGAGAGCTTGTGCTGGTACTCAAGCCCCCCTTTATCCTACTGTGGGGATGGAGCACACAAATCTACTTGCTTGGGGTTAGCAGCCCCCGACCCAAGAAAGGTTCCCCATCACTGCTTTATGAAGTGTTACGCAATAGCATTAGTATTGTTTGAGCTGTTATAGTATATTACTTACGTGTCTCCTGCCAAAAGGTTTATTCGATGTATGTTTCGATGCAACTCCCATTTGCACGTGCTGTCTTGCATCCAAGGTGTTCCCCCACTGTGCTTTACAACATTCTTTCATTAAGACTCCTCTGAGGCTTTAAAGTTTATGGATGGGTTAACTGAGGTACAGAATCTTGCCTAAAGTCTCTCATGGCCAGTGATGGAGCTGCAAATAAAACCCAGAATTCCTCCCTGAAGGTCTCTTGCTTTAACTGGTAGTCATTGCTTCAATTACATTTGCCCTTCAGTAAGTGAACATACCTCAACATCAAGAAATCTTGTTTTTCATAAAGGTCGTTTTCCAGGTTGGTAGACTGAGTGGAACCCAGAGTAACACCAAACCTGCTTGAATATACTCTCCTTCCCTTTCTCTCATTGTATCCTTCTGCCTGCTGCTGCCTTAGTTTTAGTGCTTAACTTTGCTGCAAATTGTTATTGTTCAGCACCATCTTGCAAGACATAAGGAACAGTAAACATTTGAACTCTCTCTTCCACCCACGCTCCCATGAGCATGAGTGATGTCATAGGACTAGTGCATAAAATAGGAACTGAAACTGACCATAGCAGAGAGAGTGAATATAGATAGTGAACAAACTAAAGAAATGGCAAGAAGAGGAGTGAGCCCTACATTAGCTGGGTGAAACCTTGTTAGGGGTTGAGTTAAAACACATTCAAACTGATGTGTGAATGTGCTCTTCCCTTAAGGGAATGGTTAGGGCTGAGGAAGGTTAGGGCTGAGGGGCCACACCTAAAACAAGGTCTAATAGAATCTACTCAGAAACTGTCACCAAGTGGGCAGTAGGGTTGCCAGATGGTTTCAACAAAAATACCAGACACTCCTGACATTACATCACCATCTACATTACATCTTATTTAGAAAATACCGGACCTTTATATTTTCTCATTTCTATTTTTGCAATTTGTTTCCCAAACAGAAAGCTCAAATACTGGACTGTCCGGTTCAAAACCAGACACCTGGCAACCATAGTGGACATGGAAGATGGGGGGAGGGGGTGTCTGTGCGTTCCCCACTGAATACTGTGTATTGTGACTGGGAGGGATCAAGGGGTGTGTGAATGAGTGAGGGAAAGCGGGGGGGGGGAGGCAGTCAGAGGCAAAAAGCAAGAAGACCAAGTGGTAGCTGGTAAGCCCAGTATGTGTGTGACTCTGATTTTTTTGGGGGGTCTGTTGCGTGTAAGCTAAGAAACTTGTTTTATTTTTGGTTCTTCCAGCATTCGGAAAAGCAGAATGTTATACGTTCCTTGTAAATAAATAAGATTGCATCAAATAAATACCTGACTACTACTGATTTCTCTTCCTAATGGGAATAGCTCCAGAGCCCTGAATTTTGACTAGACACTTGGGTTAAAAAGGAGTTATAGTATTAAAAAATAATTTAGAAGTATTTGAGACATGCATAATAATACTTAGCAGTTACATGGCAGTTTTCATCTGAGGATCTCCAAGCACACTACAAAGATAAATATCATCCCCATATAAGTCACAAAACTGCGGTAGAGAGGTTTAATGACTTGATCAAGATGAGTCATGGTCAGTACGGGAACACAACTTGCTTCCCTGGACTATCAGCCCAGTTCCCTGGTCACTGGACTGGATTGCCCCACTTGCATAACAATAATTCTTTGGCCCATGTGAATATAAATGCCTATACTATAGGTATGTGTATACATAACATCATTTGTGTATAAACCTTTCCTTTCCAGGTCACCTGCATAACATGCAACTACAAATCCAACACCATTGAGCCCTTCTGGGATCTTTCCCTGGAATTCCCTGAACGCTATCACTCTATTGAGAAAGGGATTGTCCCCGTTAACCAGACAGAGTGCATGCTGACAGAAATGTTGGCCAAGTTCACAGAAACAGAAGCTCTGGAAGGGAGGATATATGCGTGTGACCAATGTAACAGTAAGTGAAGTGCTGATGCTTTACCTGCAGCTTAGATACACTGTCCATTGTTCCTGGTAAGAGATGTTCATAGTGCACTTTTGTGTGGGGGTGTGAGAATTGGTACCTGGATGCATGTGTGAGAGGGAAGTGTGTTTGCTATATTTTTTAAAAAATGCACATCCTTCATCGCTACTCTGTTCTGATGCAGGTTCTTCCGCTTGATAGCTTCTGCAACTTCTGTGTACCAGTTCAGAATTGATCAGGTGCTCTTTTTATCATGTCTTACATTCAGCAGCACAGATTGCTAAGAATATATTTTGATGCACTTGGTTGCTTTTTCTGCCCCACTTAAAACAGTCACAGTAATTTTTTTTGTGGGAGGGGGAAGTGTATTTGTGGAAGAAGACACACAAGGAAGATTATCATCTTTTCTTTTCTATCATGGCAGCGATGAACAAACTATCCTGGCTAGGTGCAAGTGAAAATGCTGCTTTGTCTGCAGGAGGCTCTCCCAGAGCTAAAAGTATTTTGTCGACAAATGTGCCAGCAAATAGCATTTACATATGCTGACTTCTAGCAACAGGGCTGTATTGTGTAGGCTTAACATTATGTCTCCCTCAGGAAACTATTATGTCTCCCTTAGAAAACTATTTTGAAATAACTCCCAAAATAACAATTTTGAAATAAGCTTATTCCCTGAGAAAAGCAGGAGTACAGATTTTGAAATAACCAGCCAATTATTTTGAAATAGTGGCTTGGTAGTGTGGACACTTTGTTTATTATTTTGAAATAAGCGGAGTTATTCCGAAATAACTCCCTAATGTAGACCAGGGCTCAGATGCTGTTGATGAGCATTTTTTGTCTCTGCAGCTGTAGCTTTCAGGCAGAGTGGGCCTTTTAGAACTAGGTTAGAGAGAAGAGGTGCTCATCTTTCTTTGTAACTAGTAGGTGTCTTTAGCAATGAGCTGAAATTGTTATTTGAATCGCAAATTAGTGTATTATCTCTTAAATGAAAGTGTGCATCTCGCTTCTCTTGGTTAGAATATCTCTCATTAACTTTCCTGGTGGTCTGAGCATTAAAAGGTTAGATGAGTACTGCAGAAAACATTCCAAGAATACTTGCTTACATTTTTGAATGAAGTCATTTTGAGCTTGTAAATAATCATGAGATTTAGTTATATTGGCACCTGTGTTCACCAAAACAGAATTTCAGATTCTCACATGTGGTTATTTCAGATAGCGTAATTGTATGTTCATCCAGTGGGGAGGAAATAGTGACTTATTTGACATATCGCGACTAATCAGTACAGCCGAAATAGCAAACGTTTGTGAGAAATGATTTGCAACCAGTATTTTTAATCAGAAATGTATTAAATACTTTCAAATAATCTGAGGAAATAGCCATCTGGATGTGGATAGTCTGTAAGCAAAAGAGGAAGCTAATGTCATTAGATAAATTATTTGCTGTGAATCAGTCACACAATTTGTTCATTTTGGCTTGCATCTTAGCCTTGTTTTCTGCAGTTCTTGTTTGTGCAGACCAATGTACCAATGTACTGATGTAGGTGCTTTGTAGTTAAATCAGATAAGGAAGTATTAACTGGTGGGAGAAAAGGAAGCCAGAGCAGGAGGCAGCTGGTCCTACCAGTAGATGCCAAAAATCATTGGTGGTACTGTCTGTCAGAAGTGATTAAAGAGGAGGAGTACCCTATCTGTTCTGAATTGGTGCAGTGAGATGCAGAAATCCAATTAACAGGTACATTTCTGTTTGGAAGCTGTGGCTGTCACCTGTCCATTATTTTCTTTCTATAGCTGTGTCCCTGTGCCCTGAAGAAGGTTCCAATTAGGAACAAAATATTTTTTCACCTTCTATACCAGCTTCTGTTAATAATTTTTTAAATAATGGCTTTACCATGGAGTAAACTTGCTCCCTTATGCAGGCACACTTGCCTTCTGCCCTAACAGGACTTAATATCTTGTTGAAAGCTCTCCTCTCTAACTTGATTAATATGAATCTCTTCCTCCTCTCTCTACTGCCCCCTCCCACCAAGATAGATAGACCAATTAATCCTGCACTTCACTATCTATGCAGTATGATTAGTGGGTCAAATCAATATGTCAGTAGAGCAGTGCCAGATTTTGCAAACTGATAGTCGGTCCTTTTGGATGGAGGTAAAAAGGAAACTCTTGAAGACAGGAATGGATTGTATAATGTGTTGCATATAATGCTTAAGCTCTAAAGGGATTACTAAAAAAAACACACACCCCTTTTGGTAATTCCTTCAAATTGAAAAGATTGTTTTAATATTTGCTGTTTTACCCCTTTAAAAAAAAAACAAAATGAAATATCTCACTTCAGTCTCCTGAGAGACCACGTATGCCACAAACATTTAAGATAGCCTACAAGCCAAAATTGGTTGGAATGCTGAGTTACAGAGGAGGCTGAGTTAGTAAAGGTCTCTGTATTCTCTTTATGGAAAAAATGAAACACACATTTCAGGACCTTTGCTTTCCATTGGTGAGGATGGGGTTGTTTGCTAGTTATATGTGATAGTGGCTTTTTATTTTATTTTTACATTGCAGTAAAACTATTTTCACTCCACCTCAGTTTGTTAGTAATTTGCTTAAACATAAAAATCATACTCCATTGGGAAAGATATAAATGTTGTTCTTTGTTTATGGTTAAACATGGGATGCAGAGCTTTTTATAAGGATTAATAATTAGAACGCTAGCAGAGTTAATAAAATAGATACAAAATCTGATATCCTTACTCTGTTTTTTTTTTTAAAGTCCTGATGCAATAATGGCATCAATTTTGCCTGAGGGAAAGATGGAAGGAAATAGTGAGGGAGGCATTGAACACCAATGGGCATAGTGGTTGATGAATTATGTTAGTAAAAATGGAGAGGCAATCATCAGGATTTGTCCTTTCATTGTAGTTTAATTCAAGCCTGTTTAAGATGAAGTATAAAGAACCCTTCTAGAATGTAGCTTTTTTATAATGTTGTCTCTTCTCTTCCCTCCCCTCCCCTGATAGAGCTACTTCCACCAGGTTTATTGGGACAGTTATGTTTTTAATTTCAAAACAAATCTCCTAGTCGATGCAGTGTTAATAGTGGCTAAGAATTCTTTTCATTCTTTCATTGTTAGCTCTCAAATTGCTTTTGTTGGTGGCAAAGTGTTGATTGTTGCATCTTCATTGTATTGTAATCTGTACTCTGCAGTGGTAGCTCCACTCAGGGCTGTAATGAATCACTCCAGTTAAAATAAATTATTCTGTTCTTGTTGATTGTACTTTATGGCATGGATTACAACACTCTGAAGTGAGAATCAGTGCTCTGCAAACCTGGAGTTTAAGGCAGCGTGAGGGGCTAGTTCTTAATTTTATATTCCTGTAGTGAGCAAAATTTTACTTAAAAAATAGCAAATCAAATTTGACAGTGAATGGTTGTGGCAAGGAGAATTGAAGGACCAGTGTTTTAAATTGGCTTCACCCAAGCTCCATACCTTACAACCCCTTTGCTTTTATTCTCCCACTCTCACCTCCATTTTTTCCCCCTAGTGGACCACTACACTTGAAACTGCCTCTTTGATCCAGTCACCAGCCTTCACCCTTTTCTCCTTCAAGTAGCTTCTTAAAACACATTTTCCATATAGCCCTATGCATCTTATTGTCCTCTCTCCCAGGCACAAGTGAAAAATCTTCCACATGCACATATTGCTTAACCCACAGTAACCACGTGATCTTACAGTGGTAACCTTTGTCCTCAAATTTGTTGCAAGTTCTTGTCATAACTTAAACTATCAGCTCTTCAGCACAGGGACACTCTCTTCTGTCTACCTGTAAAGCTCTGTAGACAGTTATGGTGCTGTACAAAACAAAATCCATAATGGTTTTTCAATGAATTGAGGACAGCCTAGCATTATTCAGCATTGAAACTAGAGCATTCAGCTCTATGGTACCAGTCTTATCTCTTATCAGCTCTGTTGTACATCCAGTGTGAAGCACCTTGAAACTGGTAACTGAAGGCATGAAGATTATAAACAGCTCAAAAATGTGAATGTGCACCTATTTTTAAATTATGTGGTTTCCCATTCCCACAAATCCATAGGATTGGAATCCTCCTGCTTAGACGTTGCAGATGCAGGTGTTGTAAGCAAAATTCCCTCTTCTGTACCTCTATCCTTATTCCCTTTGTATTTCACTGGTAAGTCTTTGTTATGAGTTGACCTGACTAAAAAAGGAGGAGGAAGGTTTGTGATGTGCCTCTTCCTCTTTTGAAGACAGGTTATAACCCAGCCTATGTTTTATGCCATTCTTAAACTTTTTTGTAGGCAAACGACGGAAGTCTTCTCCTAAACCTCTTGTTCTGAGTGAAGCTAAAAAGCAGTTAATGATCTACAGACTACCTCAGGTCCTCCGGCTGCACCTTAAACGATTCAGGTGAGCTTTGTGGGCTACAGGTAGGGTTTAGCAAGTGAAATAATTCCATGAAAGACAATGTGCTTCATTTTGGAAAGGAGTGGTTCATACTCACTATGAAATTCTCTCCTTTTTCTTCATAGAGCGAGCAAATGAAATCTTATATGCAGAAAATATTTAATTTGCAGCAAAGGAGGCTTGTGTACTCAGTGTAATGGCCTTATTAAGATGGGTAGCTTGCTCTGAACTGAAATCTCTGCTACAAGTCCGGGTTATGATTTCCCCAGCTCATGTGCACATGCTTACAAGTATAAATCATGATGCAACCACAGTAGCATGGGTTATAGTACAACTGAGCCATGTCTAGTACAAATTCACTTGAAACTGACGAGTATATACTCTGCTGAGCTCAGTCATGCTTCGTACTGCCACTACTCGTGCCACTGCCACGGAACTGCTGTTTATACTTGAACTATCTTGATGAGAAGTAGTATGAAGGTGTATATACAAGCCGGAGAATCACATCCCTATCTTTGTAATGTGGATGTAGCCCTGATGTTTTTGCAACTACAAATACTGGTTAATTGATTAAGGATACTCATGTATACTATATCAATACTTTGTGCAGTGCATTCAGTGCCTTCCTGAATTTGCAGTAGCCTGAAACAGCTCCAAAAGGTGTGAATTGATTCTTTTGATTCAATGGAGTTTCTGCTTATAACCATTTAGATGTCAACATTTAATATCTATTTAAGTGCTGATCAAAGCACGCAAAAAAAGATGTGGTTAATCATGAAAAGTTGCACTCTGTTATAACATCTCATTTTTGGAAACACTGTAGTAGGTCTTCACCTTTGGATCTTGTTCTCCTTGTTATTTATCTGACCTCTACTTTTGCCACTTCTAACTCATTGTTATAGGAAATGTATCTGTTGTTGTTCTTTCCCCCTCATAATGTAGCACATGTCTTTTGGATTAATAAACCCAGCAATAGTGTAATTGTTTTGGGGGAGTATCATATTTGGGGAAGTTTCTATTTGTAACTCTGAGTCGGCAACCTATGGCTCACTAGAGAGCTAGATATGGCTCTTCTGAAGCTTCAGCCCAGCCCCCCATTGCTCCTCCCAGCAGCAGGGAGCTTGTGCTGGCTCTACAGTGGGCCTGGGCAAAACAGTCCGGCCACGGACACAGCAGGGAGCCCCCAGGCAACCTCCCCTGCATGGCCTACCCCCACACACCGCTCAGAAAAGCAGCTGCGGGGCATTTGTTTTTCACAAATTGTGAGCAGGGAGGGGAGAGGAACTGGTGCCTCATGGCTGCTACCACCCCAAGCACAATCTCATTGGCCATTTCTGGCCAATGGAAGCTGCCTGTTTCAAGAACAGGCAGCGCGCAAAGCACCAAACCTCCCTCCCCTCAGGCTCTTAGTCACCGAGCATATGGCCATGCAGCCTGGGAGACGGGGGAGGCTCCTGAGAAACATGCTGGTCTGCTGGCCTGAAGTCTTACCGGTAAGTGTCCTGGCCAGAGCCTCTCCCTCCCCCACATAACCCAAACCCTCTGCCCCCCTCCCGAGCCTATACCCCTTCCCACACACTTCACCTCAATCCCCTGCCCCAGATCACAATCCCCCCTTAGGTAACAACTCATACCCCTGCCCTAGGTCACTACCCACACCCCAGCACTGTAATCCCCTACCCTAGGTCACAACTGCATCCTTCACCCAAACTCAGTGTCCCTCAACCCAAAAAAGGTTCCCCACCCCTGCCATAAATAAAGACCAATGTTGAAACCTTTTGTGTCAGGAATAATATTTTACTTTATTTAAAAACGAAGCCTGGTCAACAAGCTCCCCATTTGGCCATAGCATCATAAACACCTCTGCACCCCCTCATACACCAACCCATAGCTCATACACCTGAACCCCCTGCCCTGAGCCCCTCATACCCCCATATTCCCAAACTTCTGCATCTCCAGTCCCATGCTATAACACTCCTGCACCCCCTTCCCCATACACCAACCCTGAGCTCATCATACACCTGAACCACCTTCCCTGAGCCCCTCATACCAACATATCCTCTGCCCCCTGCCATAAAATTGACAGAAGACAGCCTGAATGAAGCTGAATTTGACCATTTATGATGTAAATGTTAAAGAAATGTGTGAAAAGATGGCAGCAGAAGTCCCATTATATAAAGTCTGTGAGTACGTTTCATTTACGCTATTATTAATCATTGTCAATTATCAAGACTATTAAGTTGTATATTTTCAGCATGCAAATGGGCATTTTTATATGGCTCTTTGTTGACCACTTGTTCTGAATGTTGATGTAGTTTGGCTCTTTGGTTTGAAAAGGTTGCTGACCCCTGCTATAACTGAATCTGTAAGTGGTGCTCAGATACCACTTATACGGGGCTATCGTACATTTAGCATTTCCTGGAATTATTTCAAACTATAATAGACTTCGGAGTAGGAGCAAGAAGAAAAACATATTTTAACATCTGCCTTTCCCCAGCATTGAAGTTGCTTCAAAATCTCTTAATAGATCCCCTCCCCATTCTCTCACAACCCCCTACAGCCTTATTTCTTTGTAAATCCCTTGAGTGTCTGGGGGGCGTTTATTTTGATTGCATGCATTTGTGTTGCAGGTGGTCTGGACGTAATCACCGTGAGAAGATTGGGGTCCATGTCCTCTTTGACCAGGTATTAAACATGGAACCTTACTGCTGCAGGGACTCTCTCTCCTCTCTTGACAAAGAGACCTTTGTCTATGACCTCTCCGCTGTGGTGATGCATCATGGTAAAGGGTTTGGCTCAGGACACTACACAGCATATTGCTACAACACAGAGGGAGGTGCGTGTGCCTTATTACTGGGGAAACAGATTTTAAAAGTCTGTTTAATATTGTGTTCCATAGACATAGTGTATTTTAAAGATTTATGGTCAGAGTTTTAAATAACATTCCTTGCCGTTCCGTAGCATGTATTTGTATAAGGGCCAAAGACTGCTTTTCCTTTCCCTTCTCTGTAGCTCACTGGGATTGCTTTAAAGCTTGCTTTGTAACATCAGTGTTTTATTCTCTTGTGCTAAATAACTTGATTGTGCTGCTCTGATTGGCATCTTTCTGATCTTACTTGAGATGGGGAGATAACCTAGAAAATGTGCAGAAATTAGAGCTAGACTGTTCTTGAATAACATCCACAGTGTTTTTCTAATGCCTGAACACTTACCTCTTTCCACAGCATGAGTATTGATTCTACTCTTCCCTCCCTATTTATGGAGAAGGGAGAATTATAATTGTGAGGAGTTTTTTAGACTAGAATATAAAATCAGGTTACCGCTTAACCACATGGTGGGTACACTAGGTTAATAGCCTAGAAATGCTATAAAGGCCTACTAACCTGGAGTCTCTTCCCAAAGTGTCATCAGGTTAAAACACTTTTCTCCCCCTTCCCTGCCAAGTACTATTTCCTGTGATTTGTCTTTAGGGATTGTTTATCAGAGAATCAAAAGGATTGAAGTCCAGTTACTAATGTCCTCTTTCTTCCTTTGGTTCCTAGGTTTTTGGGTCCACTGCAATGATTCCAAACTGAATGTATGTAGTGTGGAGGAGGTGTGCAAAACCCAGGCCTACATTCTTTTTTACACACAAAGAACAGTGCAGGGCAATGCAGGAATCTCAGAAACACAACTCCAAGCTCAGGTGCCGTCCAAAAACAGCGATAAGGACAGAAGACTGACATTCCCATGATGGGAAGCATTAATAACTCAACTGACTCAGTTTTTTAAACCATTGGTGTTCACACATCTTTCCTCGTTGTAGGAATAAAGGCTTTACTGCAGGAACAGATCAAATCACCATGTTTGCCATCCCAGGAAAAATATGCATCAGGCTGTGCAGTTCCATCATACAAAATTGTAGTCAGAATCTTTTTATTTTTAATTGGTAAACCACACTTTCCTCAAAACAGCCACAGATGCCTATTATTATTCCATCGTATTTTAAACAAACTAAATAAGGAATGTAAAAGTAAGTACAACACATTCATTCAACCAGAATCCACACCTATCATACTCCCAAAATCGCTAGTAATTAATACTGGATTACAAAAATAATCTCCAGGGGGGAAAAAAGAGGTAAAGTAGAATTTCATTGAACCTTCATTCCTTTGTTGTCAGTTGTGTGTTCTGGTGTGAATCACTTAATCCAATCTCTTTCCACCTGTGTTTATCTGAAAGGCTTCAGTTTCCCAAAATATCTTGAATAAATGGAGTTGTACTTTTCCATAAAGCGTTCTTGCTGGAGTTTTCTAAGGCCCTTTGCCCTAGGAAAACATTCCACCAGGCCTTAATCACATTGTCTGTAACAGTACTGAAAACAGACTAGTACGGTTACAACAACACCTACTGGTGTTGGAGGAAGGGATGAAGATGCCCATTATTGACGTCCATTGTCAACAATGGATCATTTTCTTAGCCTAAATATAGCAGTGGATACACATGTGGCAGTGTTTTTCTTTAACTGGATTGAATTGACTTGGAAATTTACTGTTTGGATATGGAATGTGAAACGTGGTTCTGCTCTGGAAAGAGATCATGTGAAAGTGGAACCTTCTGATGGATCGAGTCTGTTCCCTGTGCATGTTCAGAATCCTATCTGCAAACATGAGCAGAAAAATAAGTGCAAGGGTTTTATGGGGGGTGCTACCAGACCAGTTTTTGTTTTATTTTATTTATTTTGTTTGTTTGTTTGTTTTACTCGTTAGCACTACAGTGCCAACACCACTATAGAAAAGTGAGCTGGTTTTTGCTTCTTTTTTGTGCATAAAAAGAATTGCTTTTTCTACTTTCCAATCAGTCACACGTATACAGGTTTGTTGAAGACAATGAGATTGCACAGATGTTATAGAGGGTAGAATTAGGCCAACCACATCTTTATTTCAAGTGATAGCTTGGTGCTCAAGATCCAATTTGAGTTTGCAGAGGTGCAGACTTGTAAAAACACCTTCATACTTTGCAATCTGAGCTTGATATAGAAATCACTGACATGCAACAACACAGGACCTCACGGTGCCGTTTTGCGTCCCTTTTCTGAGTAGAACCACACTTGGAACATTTATTTAGCCTGAGGATTGTACTGTCCATCTTTAATTGTAGAAGAGATCAGACCTAAGAGTTTGAAAGAGATTCTCTTGTTCCCTGTGCAGTCAGTGTTGTGTGGTAGAAATGGCTAAGGTGGAAACATTTTAAAAATCCAGTGTGCCAATGGGACATTTTAAACCTCAAATATTTAAACTTGGAATCCAGGTTTAAAAAAAAAAAATCTTGAAATCATTGTTTTTTCTTCAGCATTTGCCCATCACACACAAACGGAAGTGGCAGAGGCAACCCATCCTATTGTTCTGAAGGATGGAGTAAGTTTGGAGTTAAGTTCCCTGAAGTAATACCCTTGCCTCTGCTGCCATTGCCAGACAATTAACCTGTTTTAGGGTATGTCTACACTGCAACACTTATTTTGAAATAACTAGTGCTATTCCAAAATAACTTAGTCCACATCTACACGGCAGGCAGTTATTTTGAAATAGTCAAAATACTGTCAGGCTGGAGGACTTCTTACTCCAACTCCTGTAACCCTCAGGCTACGTCTACACTGGCATGATTTTCTGGAAATGCTTTTAACGGAAAAAGTTTTCCGTTAAAAGCATTTTTGGAAAAGCGTGTCTAGATTGGCAGGACGCTTTTCCGCAAAAGCACTTTTTGCGGAAAAGCGTCCGTGGCCAATCTAGATGCGCTTTTCTGCAAAAAAGCCCCGATCGCCATTTTCAAAACAAATCTCTGCTGTCTACACTGGCCCTTTTGCACAAAAGTTTTTCAGAAAAAGACTTTTGCTCGAATGGGAGCAGCGTAATATTTCCGCAAAAGCACTGACAATCTTACATGAGATCGTCAGTGCTTTTGCGGAAATTCAAGCGGCCAGTGTAGACAGCTGGCAAGTTTTTCCGGAAAAGTGGCCAGTCTAGAGACAGCCTCATTGTACAAGGAATGAGGGAAGTCGGAGGAAGAATGCTGTATTTCAAAATAAGTGCTGTATAGATGCTCCCTATTTCAAAATAAGCTACGTAATTGACATAGCTCAATTTGCGTAGCTTATTTCAAGTTAAGCAATGAATGCTCTTCTCCCGTGGATGGTTGCTAATCACTCTTAACAATCCAGAAGGGAGGGCGCAGTAAGGCAGGGTAGGCAAGAAACTCTTTTCCTGTAGCCAGTGTAAAGCCTGAGCATGTTTCCTCAAGAACACACTGGTCTTGCTTCACTATCCTGAGGAGTGGGAGTTGCTCAGGAATCAGTTTTCTCCTGCACGTCTGAGCTACGTGTTGCTTTGGAACCTATAATATTTGCCTGGTTTTGTTTTGCTCATAACTATTTTCAGAATTTTACACTTTTACTCACTAGAGGCAAAGCAGTTTGAGGAAGTCCCAGAGGTGCTAATGAAATTTTTTTTGTTTGTTTTTGTTTTTTTAAAGTCTGATCTTGTAGCTAGGCTTGGAAGGATTTTTTTTGAATTCTTTTGAATTCTGACAGATATTTATTACTTAGGTATGTACTTTTGGGGGGGGGGGGTGGAGGAGCACAACTCAAGGAAATAGAAACAAACTGCATAGATAGTAACAAAAAATTTAATGGGCCAAATTAAGACAGAATGTAAGCAGATTTAACTCCACTACATTCACTGTAGTCTGAATGTGGTCCATGGAATGTAAAAGTTGAGCTCCATAAGATTTTGAAACAAAATCATGCAGTTGTGATTATTACATATTTATGAGCATAATTAGTTCTTTGATCATGCCAAAAGTACATACTTATTAATCCCAAAATGAAGTGCTAGAATATCTTTTTTTAAACTTTTTGGATCTAGGTAGAGGGACAAGGTGTTATTTTCCAAAGCACTGATTATCCTTCCAAGTCTACCAATATTTTTAAAATGAAATTGGATCAGTTATTTAATGGAAAACAGATTTGCTTTTAAACAGCAGATTCAGTTTACCATAAAGAGCGTAACTGGCATATTTACTTTCTGAAAACTCCTGCCGTGGGAACCCTGTTATAGAAAAGTCTATGATATGAAGGCAAACCACTGTGCCGCATTACAATTGTTACTGCAGTGAGCCTAGACTTATCACTATGAATACTCATCTTTTGACTGAGTGTGTTGCATTAATATTTGAATTCAGGTAGTAATACAGTTGTCACTTGAATTGAATAAGTTGCAGAGAAGGAAGGGAGGCTGGAAGAAGGGGTGTACATTTAGCCATCAGTGCATCAGATTTCCCAAGCAGATTTGTAGCATTTGCTGTTGACATCTTTTGAGATTAGTGGCCTCTCCACATGACATTAACCCAGTAGTGCTGATGTGTGGAGAAATTGCAGTCAGGAAAAAATGACTTACCTTGGTAGGAAAGGAAATAATTATACTTTAAATTAAACTTGCTTTTTCCAACACTGTGAGGTTTCTGTAATATTTAGCTTTTATTTGGAAGCGATAGCGTATAGCATTTTTTATGCTGTTTGGTTTATATTTGTCTACTGCAGGCTTCTTTATACAAGCATTGCTCAGTGCTCCCGCTGTGGTGTACACTGTTTTATAGTGTCCTGGTTGCCAGAAATTCTGATTGGAAGTTACATGTCTAGGTCAATAAGATGAAAATGTTACTTGCAATTACAGTGAAGTCCACTTAAGTGAATGCTTGACAAAGTGTAACTGATAAAATCAATGTAATCCTATGAGTCAAATTACGCTCAGACACTGGCATAGATTTAAAGTAGCTTAACTGAAGTCAATTGAATTTCTCCAGATTTAGGTCCCTATCCTGCAAACACATAACATAAATGGGACTACTTGAATCAAGCAGGCAGTCCCATTTATTGTAATAAGACTACTCGTGCTAAGTGTTGGCAGAATCAGGTCCTTAAATTGGTGTAACTGGGAGCAGAATTTGATCCTGTATTTGTAGCTAAAATTCTTGAATTTAAAAAAGAAAAAATTGTGGGAGTAGGCTAACATCTCAGTTCTTTTTAAAATGATTGGTTGAATAGGAGATTATGCCTTCTCTGAACCAGTTTATTAGTTTGATGGAAATCCTTTGCAAGAGGTCTTTGCTGCATATGCAAAAACAAGGATGTTGGTGACCAGATTTGTAGGACCCTGGAGCAGCAACTCATGCAAGCCTTAAATCTTAGAGTGCTACAGTAGATGGAAAAAATAATTTGGCAACCTTTTTCAGTCCTACTTTTGCGCCCCTATGGCTTTCTAGGAGCCCAATCCTGTCATGTGAAGAGAGTCTCCTGAGAAGTGCTGTGCTGAGCAATGACCAAACCTAATGGGAATTGAATGTAATTGGCACCTTGCAAGATGGGACTCTAGATGTATAGGAAATTGCTGTAAATTAATGAATTAATTATACTAGTATGTATACTTCACCTGAAATTTGGAGGCACCACCAACACCTCCCTAACATATTTATATCTTCAGAAAACCAGCTTTATTTCATTTAATTTTTTAAATATGAGAATCTTAAAATTTACAACGTCACAATCAGGTTAAATCCAAGGTCTGCTAAGGTAGTTGGAAAACATTGTTTTTGGCTAACTTCACTACTAGCAAATTAATTACAACTACTTCCTAATACATTACTCTTACTGCCTGCACTGCCAAGTTAAACTATGCACTCGGCAAAGAGGCATTTCAGTGCAAAATATTGAAAGATGATGTTTTTTTGTAGTCTGCTGACTAGAAGAACTCTAGTTTGGTGACTTCAAAAATTATCCCAGGTGAGGCAGTAGATGGAATCATGCATGGTAAACAGTCTGGGGCTGAACTGTCATCTTGAAATTGTTCCCTTTTGGGTGACAGTACCACCTCCACACAGTTAAACACTTCCAGACATCTTTAGTGTAGAAATAAAAATTGGAAATGGTAAAAATGTTAAATGTGTCCTATGGACTCGTAAGCAGAGATTATTTTTGTTTTTAACCAGCAAGGCTTCTAGAATAAATATTGTCTGTGCCCTACAGAAGCTCTGTTTCTGATAGAATATGTTTAGTTACTAGTATGAGACACAAGCAAGTAAGTGGGTGTTGACTGATATCAAAATACCCTAGCATAAAATGGGAGAGGTCAACAGTATTACAGAATGAAAAATTTGAAGTGGGGGAGGGAGGGACGGGAGAGATATGGGACTGGGAAAGGGGTTAGTTTTACCTACTGATAAAGTTTTGTGAACTAATTTTTATATGATTAATTAAATTTGGTGCCTTGTATCCAATTACATTTTGCATGGGACCGAAAAGTTGGGAGTTTTAAAAGAATTTCCTCTCTCATCGTTCAAGTGGCAGATAAATCTGTATGTTTTTTACAAGTACTTTTCAGTGTCATTGACATTTTTACATTTCATATCTGTATGTGAATGAAAAAAAGGTTCTTACCAGCAAGTTCAGAACTTCGTGTATTTTGGTGTCCATGTCTGAAATGTGTGTGTGTGTGTGTGTGTGAGATAACTCAAATGACTACTTATTCAAAAGCAGATCATGTTTTGGGTTTTTAAATTTTCTCAGGCCACTACCAATCAGGTCAGTAAAGTTATCCTCTCAAAGCAAGAACCTTATTTATAATAAGACCTGTGTTATATGAGGGATTAAAAACTCCACTTGTGGCATTTCGGTACAGCAGTAGGAGTTTTGGAAAGGCCTTTCTGATTTAAACATATTGACTGATAATTGGAGAATTATGAAGGAAAATAAAAAAATAGTTACCTTTGCCATGGTTCTATTTGCACAGGTTTACAGTTAGCAGTGTAGCAAACAATCCCACATGTGTGAGCTGAAAGATCTCAATGCAGGCAATACTGTGGTGTTTCATATGCAAGATGTAAGGTTGTTTAAGGTGGGTAAATAGCTCTACTTGAACAGTAGATGGTAAAATCCTAACACCTACTCTGAATGCTGCCTTTTTTGTGTCTAATCTCTGCACCTGGTTTGAGATCAGGCAAGAAGGAGCTGAGTAGGAATTTCTTGCCTGTGGAAATATAAAACCTCACTTGGGTGGGTTTTTGGTTTCTATTACATTAATATTGATATCCATTTATTTACAAGTGGGAATGTGAAGAAGCCTTCTAGCAAGTTTTTAAAATTGTAAAACCACAGCACAGTTTTCGTGATCAAAAACTGCATTTGTTAGTTACTTGTACCAATCTGTAATTAGTTGTCTTAGTTGATTTTGGGGGTATGCCATGGGCCATCCCTTTCATTGTGCTTATTTTATTTTGTGTGTATGTATGGGTTCCGGTTGTTCTAAGAATAATATGTATGGTTGGCCAAAATGCTTTCAAAAGGAATTTTTAAACTGGAACAAGTTGTCTTAAAAGTATTTTTCAACTTACATTTCCAAAAGGAAAAAGAAAAATGACCAGCCCAATGGGCCCGAGACTGACTTTAACCACTGTTAACTATTTATTATTTGAAGCTTGTGCGTGATACAGAATGCATTGTTGCTGTAGCAAAATGCTACAGCCTCAAGGGCACTGTCTGAACAGCCCATTTACTGAATTCTGTTCAAGTTGGAGTTTGTGATAGGGAAGGAGTACAAAACAACCCACTGACAAAGTTGATGTGACCACTGTAAAACGTTTTGGATTATATGTAGACGAGGCAGGGAAAGTTTAATGACAAAGTGATCTAGTGTGTCAATTGAATACTTTTTGTGTAGGTGGGTGGCTTGGCAGCAAAGGGAATAAAATCCAAGAATGGAATTTAACAGCAAAATCCTAGCCATTGAGGGCCTGCAGCTTACTTTTTGTAGACTGAATGGTTGTGTATTTAATGGAAAACTGTTCCTTCTCTGAAACTATCCACTCATTTCTCTGAAAAATTTTTAAAAATATAAAGGGAGTCACCTGCTTAGATCCCACAATAGTCACTGTGTAAACCTGTTGTGACTACCAGGAGGTAAGAAAGGAATGAATAAACAGAACTACTAGCTTGCACTTGAATTTAATGTTTAAAAGTCATGGTTATGCATTTCAGGATAGAAAACTGTTCCCTTGGGGGGGAGAAACTCTCCTCTTTTCATGTTAAAATGAAACTCTGTAGAGAACTTTCTGGTGCTGTCTCTTTAGCTCAACAAGCAGAAAAACATTCTAGAGCCTGGGATGGAACAGAATTTAGTGCACTTGTCTTAAGAGCTTGTCTAGAGTGTGGGGTACTGTGTGCTCTGGGAGGGTAATTTCTGAAGTGTATTACTATGTTGCACATGAATGTGCCTGGTCTACACACATTTGTACCAGTATAATTTTTGGTGAGAATTGTGTAGTTTTGAGATTTTTTTTTTAAACAAATACAGCGATAGACCTTCCTCCATGTGGGTGTAGTTAATATTAGACAGAATGCTTAAACCACTATGTCTTATCCCCCTTCTCATTTGTGGAATAAACTGTGATGATAGAAGTACATATCAGTATAACAGCAGCCACACTGGAGTACCATTTAGCTATACTCTTAGGCTACGGCTACACTTCAGGCTTTTTGCACAAGTTCTTGCGCAAGTAAATTCTACACTTGCATTCTTGCGCAAGTAAATTTACAGTAAAACGTCGGAACAGAGGGCTTCTTGCACAAGAGTTGTTCCTCTCTCCATGAGGAATAAGCCCTCTTGTGCACGAAGACAGTGTGGATGGGAACTGGGGTTTCTTGCGCAAGAAATGCCTATGGCTAAAATGGTCATCAGAGCTTTCTTGTGCAAGAGAGCGTCCATACTGCCATGGATGCTCTTGCACAAGAGCTGTTCTTCCTGAAAAAAAGAATGCCTCTTGTGCAAAAACGGAGCCTCATTCATTATGCAAATGAGGTGGCAATATTCTACATTTAGCCTTATTTGCATTTTTTTCACAAGAGGGGGCAGTGTAGACATAGCCTTAGATTAAACCATTACAACCTTTGGGTGTAAACATGGCCTACAACTGTGTCAAAAGGGACAAGCTAGGGCCTTAGGTGAATGACTTTGCTAGGGTTTGCTGCACTCCAGTCTAGAATCTGTCCCTTAACTTAAATGGCCCACATGCACCCAGGCACCTTTCTGACTGGGTAAGTAGTGTCACCTTCAGTCCATCTAACGTCAGTACTGCTGACCTGGCAAGGTTATAGATGTACACTCCTGCCTAATCTTATTGGAAAATTCTTATCACTTGACAGTACTACTCAGCCCAGCAATTAACATTCACATAGGAACAGAATTCCCCCTTCCTTAAAAACTATACAAAAATGTGAAAACAACTTTGAGTTAGTGTTTGAGGGGCCTCTCAGAGGCTGGCTGCTGCTGACCAAAAAGTAACTTTGAGCCTGGCACCACACACTGACCCATTTTCACTTAACTTTGGATAACTAAATGCCATAACTATTAGTGTTGGTTAAAGAGAGTTCATGAGGAAAAACGTAAAAAATAGCTAAATTGTTTGCCATACATAAAATCTCACTTGGTGTTTTTAATAATCTTCCTCTTTTTTAATGTTTTAAAATCCAATTTAAACATTCACAACAGCTAAACTTTGTTTGGAAATCCCCACTCAGAAATTTCTAACTTGTCTATGGAATAGTGATTGTTAGAATTTTGAAAAGCCCTTGGATTGGCCTAATTTTTCGACCATTAATTCAATAGGAATTGCACCATTGTTCTGTTTTAACTGCTCCTATTGAAGTCAAAGTATTCTTGAAAATCCCATTATAAAGTAATTCTTTGACTGTTCCTGTATCCTAGTGCTTGGTAATCCTTGGAAGGCTGCTGTCCTAAATATTTGCAAAGGTGGGAAAGAACAGTTTTCTTTTAACTAAACGTTCTCTTGAAAGGGGAATTTAAGGATGGGTGCTTCTTTGCTGTCTCAATGTGAAGGAAAAAAAAACTTGGCCAGGTTGTTGGCTTGGCCAGGGACTTGTATGGTGTCTTTAAGTGAAAGCTATGTGTAGCTGCAGGTGTGTGCTACCTGATCAATAATGGCATAAGCTGACTGACACCATACTCTAATACTGAACAAAACTGTCTTAGCTGAAGGACTTTCAAAGGTGACAGCTGAGAATCCAACTAGTTGCTGGCTGCCAAGCCAGCTCAGTGCACAAATGTATATTGAAGGACTGCTCCTAATCTTATGTAAGTTACACTATCTCTATTTAAGTCACAGGCTTATGAAGACAACATTCAGTAACTCATCATGATAGAATTAGGTATTAGAGCTGCATAACTTGGCCCAGGCCTGAACCCAAACCCTAGGAAGAAATTAGGGTGTTTATAATTTTTGCCTGCAGAGGATATGTTCTAGTTTAGTGAGACTTAATTTCACAATGCGCATCCTTTGCTGAATACTGAACTACTTGTTCTGAAAAACATAGGTAAAGATTACTTCCAATTAACTTAGTACTTGCTAAAGCTGCAAGTGGATTGTTTCCTCCAACTGCTCTGACAGGCCCTCCCTTCTCCCCCCTCAAAAAAATTAATCTACAGGCTGAGAGAGGTAGGACTCCTCTGAACACAGTAACAGATGAACTCATGCATAAAATTCCAAAGGATCTGAAGCCATGCTGCAGTGGTGCTGCATTATGCTCAGGGCCAGAACATGTGCTACTATTTGTGTAGCTGCAGCACAACAATGCACCTGACTAGAGCTAGAAAGTAGCACTGTTTCTGAGCATATCATCAATTTGACCTCCCATGGAATAGCCTTGCCACTAATAGCTGGATTCCAACAACTTCATGGTGGCAACTGCTAGAATAGTCCAAGGCACTAAAATGCTATGCAACACCAAACAGCTTCTTCCCCAAGTATAACATACAATCCTAATTCCTTCAAAAGAAATGCACCAGCTTTATCCTGTCTGAACATTGTGTGTACATTTCTGGTGGTTAGAGTTTACCTAGGGCTTCTTAAAATTTTATTTTCCCTTTGAATAAATAGCTGACAAGTCCTGCTTACAACACAGGATTGGGACTTGTTCCTCTTTTGGGTGTGAAATATGAATCATGTTTTTATGATTTTTGTAAATCTTTACTCTTTTTTACACCTTGTTTTGTAAACTGAAGTTTCCTATTAAAAGAATAAAAATCAGTGCAGTAGAATGTCATTATTTCACACACTTTACATAGACATACAGAATTAAGCTCAACATATAGCAGCTTCACAAGTCTTGAAAATATAACTGAATAATACACTGAGCTCAGTTGAGTGAACTGAACATACAGCAAACATCTCAAGAGTTAAATAGTTTCTCACTTATCACTCTTCACTATGGAATGATAGCTATGCTTGAATTGAAATACTATTTTAGAGCTGCTGTTGAACTTTCAGGTACCTAGAACAAAAGCAACATACACCACACAACTCTTCATTTGGTCATGGTCACACTGGGATTGGAACCTCTTCAGACTTGATGCAGGTACAATTTATTCACAACTGCAATTAAATATCAGATAAAGCATGGGTTAGAGACAAGCGTGTGGCCTTTAGCATATTAAAAGGGCACTGGGTAATAAGTCACTCTGAGGTAATCATGTTTCCCCTAGAATACCAAGTTGTGAAACATCTTACAGTTCTCTTGATAATGCATGCAGGGTTCAGTTTTGTATGTGAACACTTTTAGGACACAAATACCTGTTTCATAGGGTCTACCTTTTTGCTTGTTTACCTGGTTAAGTAATTTGAACATTGCTGCCTTTTTGAAGGGCATTTCAAAGCTTTAAGATGACCTTAAATCAGTTGTTGGGTTGCCACAGTTCACTATAATACCCATTATAGGGATGTTAACTAGCAGTTAATTAGCTCATCAAGTAGTTAATGGAATTTCCTATAAGGACAGGTAGTGTCAGCTCTCACAGGGTCTCAGCACAGTCTCCTGCTGCCACTCTGCATTTTTAAAAGGAAGCTGGCAGGAGAGGGCACTAGGTGAATCCCTGGTCCCAGGTCTAAGCATTCACACAAGCTTCCCTTTAAAAATGCAGTGGCAGCAAACAGGGTGGAAGGGGTGGAGTGTTTGTGCTGAGACCTGGGACCAGATATTCAGCCAGTATCCTTTCCAGCAGGCTTCCCTCTAAAAATGCAGGGGAGGGGGAAGAGAATAAGCAGGTAGTTGATAATGCTACCTGATAAGCTCCTGTTTATCAGGTAGTCGACTTTTCCTTTACATCCTTCATCCATTACTGACCATTCAGCTAGGTCAAGACTGTGCTCTACATGACATTCATCAGAAATTTAGATACCTAACATAACCAGAGAAGGTATAATACTAATTGCATTCCAGTCATCTGAAGAACCAGGTTGTATCCACTAAAGCTCATACCACCATCTATATGTTGTTAGTCTTTAAGGTGCTGGTAGATTCATCAACTTTTACTAATTGCACCATAAGTGGCACTGTACAAAGACAAGAGCCTTATCCTGAGGCCTTGGCCAAAAAAAGTAGTAGTGAGCAAATCACACTAGTATAGTTTCAGCAAAGCCAGTGTGAAAAGGAGGCGCTCAATCCACAGGAAGTGGGAAGCAGCTGATCACCCCAAAGGCTAGCATAAAGCAGTGGAGGGGGAACATCTACAAAGGAAATGGACACATTTATGCAAGTCTTTGAAACTGAGATAGTAGCTGCACAAGAGAATTCTTTAAAAGGTCCAAGGCCTCTAAGTCAGTTATACCTTCCATATACCTCCTCCTCAAAACCTAGGAACTGCACTTCTAGGATCCATTGCATGGATCTCATCAAACTTTTGAATAGTCAGGTAGGACTTGACTACAGCCATTTTTTTTTCATGTGGAAGACCATGTACTGCAGTCTTCTAATGGCTTCCCATATCCATTACTGCCCTTTTATCCAAATTCTTAATTGATTAGTTTGTCCCCTTTTGTTATTCAAATAATAAGGTTGTATTACTACACCTTTACAATGTCATACTTACTGGTAATTGCTATGCAACTGGTGGAGGAGACATCAAATCAATGTCTGTTAAGTTTCGGGCTACCCAGACTCCGGCAGCAAAAAGTCCAACGTTGACTATGAGGTTTCTGAAAAATACAGAGCCAGTTAGATTTGTTGAAAGTGGTGTTGTCCAGTCTACAATGAAGTATTTATCTAGAATACTAACTGTAAATGTACAGCAACACTTTCAGCACTGACTGCTTTAAAACAATAACCAATATTAGATCTCATTGCCAAACATACACTATAGCTGGATGAAGCAACAATTTCAGTTTTGAGGGAGAGGAATTTCCCTGTTTTTGTTGCCTTCTCAGGAGTTCTATTCAGAAACATTCTGGCTATGCCTAGACTGGCATGACTTTCCACAAATGCTTTTAACAGAAAAGTCTTCCATTAAAAGCATTTGCGGAAAAGAGCGTCTAGATTGGCATGGATGCTTTTCCGTAAAAGCATCCATGGCCAATCTAGAAGCGCTTTTGCGCAAAAAAAGCCCCGATCACCATGTTCGCGATCGGGGCTTTTTTACGCAAAACAAATCTGAGCTGCCTACACTGGCCCTTTTGCGCAAAAGGACTTTTGCATGCAGGAGCAGCATCGTATTTCCACAAGAAGCACTGATTTCTAACATGAGAGCGTCAGTGTTCCTGCGGAAATTCAAGCGGCCAGTGTAGACAGCTGGCAAGTTTTTGCAGAAAAGCAGCTGCCAGTCTAGACCCAGCCTCTGTGTTTCCCGTTTCATCCCCTATTAAGGACACGATCGGTGTGGAAACAGGATTTTGCCTGAATTCTTGTTTTCCCCGCCTCTCCCAAGGTAACCATGTGCTGCCCCACTTCAGGCAAGCAGCATTATGCCTGGGGGGAGGGAGGGATACCAGCAGGCTCAGAGCTTTTCACATGCCATGGAGGCGGGTCAGAGCAGACAGACACGTGCAGCGAACAGGATTTAAATAGCCGCGGAAGCGGGCCCCTAGCAGGAGGGGTGGGAAGGACCCGCCCCCTGCTCCGCGTGGGAGCGAGGGGCGGGGATAAAGCGTCACATCCTGTCAGGGCGCGGTCTCAGCACGTCACTTCCGTCAAGGAGGCCGACGCGGGAAAAGCGGCGTGCGAGCGCGTGGCGGCCTGGGGCCTGACCGCATGCGCAGTGGCCTTGCAGGCGCCGCCTTCGGAGTACTCGGCCCTTCAGGCGCGTTCCCTGCGCAGAGCGCGAGCCTTGGGCACAGGGCAGAGTGATGTGCAACATGCAAGTGCCTGCTCGTGCAATCCCAGGGTGCAGAACAACAGACCCCGTGCAATACCCCATGTGCAACATCACAGTGTGCACGTGCCCTGACCGCATGCGCAGTGGCCTTGCAGGCGCCGCCTTCGGAGTACTCGGCCCTTCAGGCGCGTTCCCTGCGCAGAGCGCGAGCCTTGGGCACAGGGCAGAGTGATGTGCAACATGCAAGTGCCTGCTCGTGCAATCCCAGGGTGCAGAACAACAGACCCCGTGCAATACCCCATGTGCAACATCACAGTGTGCACGTGCCCATGCAATCCCAGTGTGCCGAGTACCAGGCTCCGTGCAATGTCACAATGTGCAAGTGCCCGTGCAATCCGGTGTGCAGAGTACCAGGCCCCGTGCAACACTCTGGCTGTGTCTACACACTGGCAAGTTTTTCCGCAAAATCATCTGATTTTGCAGAAAAACTTGCCAGTTGTCTACACTGGCCACTTGAATTTCCGGAAAAGCACTGACGATCTCCTGTAAAATCATCAGTGCTTTTCCGGAAATACTATGCTGCTCCCATTTGAGCAAAAGTCTTTTTCCAAAAGACATTTGCACGAAAGGGCCAGTGTAGACAGCATAGTACTGTTTTCCGCAAAAAAGCCCCAATCACAAAAAAGGAGATCCTGCCAATCTAGACACGCTTTTCTGAAAATGCTTTTAACGGAAAACTTTTCCGTTAAAAGCATTTTTGGAAATTCATGCCAGTGTAGACGCAGCCTCCGTGTGCAACATCACAACATGCAAGTGCCTATGCAATCCCCTTGTGAATTCTCCGTATGGTGCATTGTGGGATGGCTTTGGAGAGCCAGAAACAGTTGCTGTGAGCAATGCAGTATCTACACAGCCTCTGCTTTTACATCACTACGTTGTCTGTGCCTCTTGGGGCGGTGGAGTGATTAAGGCGCTAGCGGGTAAGTTATATCGGTGGGAGCAAAATTTGAGTGTCGCTATTTACGTCATTAAGTCAACACAGGGTGCCCGACAGCCTTCGCCAGGGTTCTGGCAGTGATTTAAAGGCTTGGGGCTCCAGCCGCTGCCACTGAAGAGGTGGCGGTGTCCAGGAGTCCTGGGACCTTTTAAATTGCTGGGAGGGGGACGGGTGTCGTTCCCCACCCCACCCCGCACCTCATCAACAGGCCTGGGTCCACATAAGCTGCTTCATGTAAAGCTAACTCTGCAGCACAGACGAGGACTCAGACTGAGCATCCCGCCCAGGATGTAAGGGACACTTCTATTTGCAATAACTCCCAGACACCCCATTTAAGTAATGCTATCATCACCCTCCTCACCCACTATGGTACCCAGAACCACGTGTGTCAAGCCATACATGGGCACAAAGCCTTCTGTCCCCGAGCCACGGAGACTGATGTGCTTGTGTGGCTAATGCACAAGCTTTTACGCAATGTATTTGCGCTCTGCTCTGCTTCTGCCAATGGGAGTGCAGGAGGGGTGGGCTTCTCTGGGCTTGGCATCCAATGGCAGAGCAGGGTGGTAGATTTGAAGATTCCTGGGCCAGGTGGAGGTAGGTCAGTAATGGAATGGCTCAGAGCAAGGGGATGTCCTGGTCTTTGGCTGCAGTTGGAGGAGGGCTACAGAAGGACTAGGGGCAGCAGGGATGGGAGGTTTAGCCCTCATGGTTTGGTTTGGTTCTGTTCCGCTGCAACACCCAGTGAGGAGTAATCTGCTTCCCTGGCTGCAATTGCTTTCATAAATACTGCTAAGCTTAGTAAAAACCTGTCTGGGTTCCAGCTGGGGGAACTACCGTTCTGCTTGCCTTGTTTTATATTCTACCCACACATGTTCTGACTGATAATAATGTGTGATGTCAGTTGGAATTATTTAATCAGAGATGATTAGCTCTCAATCCCACAGAGCACAGAGAGGAAAAGCACCCTTAACCAATCTCTCCACAACTCGGGAAGTGTTAGCTGTTTGTCCATCTCCACCTTAACTCCTGCAAATTCTTCCCTCTTACAGTGGGTGACAAAGAAATTCCTTTGTGAAGAAGAGAAGCTACTTTCCCACCCCAATCCCACTCTGCAGGGGCTTTGGTATCTCAATTGCATCCAAAGCACCTTTTATGGCATCTCAGATTACACAAGTGATAAACTAAAGGGATTTCTCCCCCAGTTGTTATTACTAAGAACATCTGTGGCAACAAGTAGTTCCTAATGAGTTAAAAACACCTTCCACTGAGTCCTCCTTTCCTAGCTCACAGAAAACATGTGCAATAAACATACCTTTTACCATATTTAGATCAGAGGAATCCCTCATCAATCAGACCTTGCTCATCACAACATACATCTGTAATAACAGGCATCCTGTATCAGATGTCACGGGTCCCTGCCTGAACATCTGGCCATGTTCTCCAAAGGTCAGTGGGGTAGGGTAAGAGATTTCATTGTTGATCCTATATACTTCATTTTTTGGACACACACCTAATTCAGAGAAAGGACAAAACACTTTGGAGGTGGGGGTGCAGGAGTCTGGGGAGGGGTGAGGGCTCAGGACAGAGGGTGCGAGTGGCCGGCCCAGGGAGGCAGGGACTGTGCTGCCCAGATGCTAGCTGCTCCGTAGCTCCCCAGGACTGTCAGGGCAGCAGGGGCAATGCTGAGTGTGAGCGCGTGTGTACGCTCATGGGCATGCTCGCATGTGCAAGCTAAGCCCTCCCCCTTTCTCAGAGACAGGTGCGTAAAGCGAGGCCGCAGGGAGTGGCCAATCTCTAGTTAGCGATCTAGGAATGGGATCCTGACACTGACGGTGTTTCTTGCAGGACTGAATTAGTTGGGGTTTTTTTTGCTAGGAGAGGAGGCGATGGTGCACGGAGCAGCTTGCAAGATCAACACCTTCTTCCCTTCAAACCTGAGCCACAAGCCTGCAAATCCTTGTGTGCTTGGTTAACTCCCCTGAGTGGTCCCAACAGAGAAGGTAAGTGGACTCATGCGTGTGTATGTAGGACTGAGGCCTGATCTGTGTTGCTGCCTGCTGCTGCTTCTGGCTGGCTGGTTTTTGTAGTGATCCTTTAAGGCACACTCCTCTTGCTCTCCACGGAGGTGCTGCTCTCCATAATCTTCCCTGGAACTTCGAATCCTAGAGCTGGAAGAGACCTCAGGAGGTCATCAAGTCCAGCCCCCTGCCGAAGGCAGGACCAACCCCAACTAAATCAACCCAGCCAGGGCTGTGTCAAGCAGAGACTTAAAAACAAGGGTGTATTTCCTTAGAGGGGCTGAATGGATTGAGAATTTGCCATTAGTATTTATTATTATCTACTCTATAGTTGAGAGAGTTTGTGTGACTGTCTCGCTGTCTGCGGTCTGTTTGTTCAAGAACTCCTCTTAAATGATAAGAGCCAGGACAAACAAATTTGGTAGGCGGCTTTCTCTTATCCTAGCTTAAGGCAAGGTCAGAGTTTGGTTGGGCCAGGACAATGGAATGTGCTGAGAATGTGATTGTTTCTCATTAAACAGAAAGGGAGGGGTGTGATGGGGCAGTTCTACTCAGGGTGTCTGCACTTGCCCCCTAGTTCGAACTAGGGAGGCAAATGAAGCATACTGAAGTTTAAAATGAAGCACGGAATTTAAATATCCTGCGCTTGATTAGCATATTTGCAGCCAGTCAGCATTTTAAAATGCCAGTCACCTGATTTAACTTGCCGCGTGTAGACGTGGTAGTTCGATCGGAAACCCTTCCCTCGAATTAACTGTTACTCCTCATGCAATATTTAAATCTCGCGCTTGATTTGCAACTTCGGTATGCTTCATTTGCCTCCCTAGTTCGAACTAGGGGGCAAGTGCAGACACCCTGAGTAGAACTGCCCCATCA